AAAAAAAAATGTATGCGTAAGGCACAATTGTTTCTGAATTATCTAATATCCCTCAAAAATGGCTTTAAAAAGCTCTGTTAAAGTTCCACATTTTTGTCACTGGCCTCACAGCAAAAAGTAAATATTTGAATGCCGTTCTACAAACTTAACTGAAACCATTACGGAAATATTCTTTACTTATTCTCTAAAAAGCAGCTTTGATTAGCGAAAGACTAATGCGACTGTGTAAAAAAAATTACCTATTATTTGCGAGATCATTTGTGGGAAGACAGAGCTTCTCAAGAAATGAGGAACAGAGATTACTTTGTTGGCTTTTAGACCCATTATTCAAGGGATTTTTTGTTGTTTACTACTCTACGTTTGTTTTTTCTTGCACTTTTCTCACTTTTTTGTTTTTCGGACCTAATCTTTGAAAATTACTGGGAAGAGGGAACTGGTTTGGAAAAAATTTCTGGATTTATCATACGTATAAAAGTTGGTCACAAAAAATTTTTTGGCTTTTGGCTTTTATACAACCAAATGACGAGAGTTTCTTGAGAGCATTTTTATCTTTTTGCGAAAAATCAATAATTAATAGTGGAAAGCTGAATATGAATTAGCTTAATCGTTTTGAATTCAAAAAATTAGTATCAAAGAACATATGGATGTTTTCCCGTAATTAGCGCTATAATTGATATCAGTTTCTAGTTAATCATAAAACTAAAAAAACAGTTGCAGCTCTCAGCCAACATCGGCTTCAGTCGACACTTCGGAGTGCGATTGGTTGTGGCGTCATGCGATTAACGTTGACGTCAACGATATTATCTACATTCACGTTCACCAAAATAGTAATCTATTGTTTGTCCAAATTTTGTGAATGAAAACAGCTTTTCCTTGATTCCTCTTTCTTGCTAAAAAGAAATATAACTAGATATTTCAAATCATATTTTTGTTTTTGACCATTTTTTACAAGTTTAATTCATAAGCTTTTGTCCAGATGAAGATTCGCCAGCCACCTTGGTGTTTGTCGGTGGGGATGGGGTTCAGCATTCTCCGATCCGTTTTGCATTTGGCCAACACGCAGTGCTGTTCCTAAACTGTCTTGAAACTGGTCTGCAACCGTATCGTCGTTTGGACCCGCCACTGTGGTTATCCAAAAGCAAAGGTTTTCATCGCTTTTTCAGGACTTACATTTAGTAATTAAATTGGGGGAAATTAGTATTTCAAAAAGCAAAATGATAGCTGAAATGATATTAGGTAAAATGTTGCCAAAGCTGCGAAGAAGGACCAGCATGGTTGTTGCTGAAACAGACAAGCACGATTCCACCGAAGAGTACGAGTTGCACGACTACGTGTTCCGAATAGTTCCACTGATTGATTGTCCTCAAACTTCTAGCAGCTCCAACAAAACCGATAGTGGAGTACCGACAACAGAGACCAGTTCTAGTAGACCAAAACCTGCCGATGTAGAGAAGTAAATTACGCATATTACTTAAGACCTTATTTCACGAGGAGCCTCAGTTGTCAACTTTAAAAAGCACTCTTTCAATGGTTTTTTGGTTTCCTAATTTTTTCAAAGGAAATACAACTGAAGAAGAACGACGTTGTTGTTGGATTTTTCGCATTTGATTCCTAAAATATTTTTAGTACTCAACTAGTTTTTTTTGCTCTTTAGACTACGAAATCCGGTCGAACGAAGAACTGAAAGTGATAGTGTCGTCGATCGTTTGGTAAAGTAGGTTCTTCTTCCGCAAATAGCTGTATTTTGGTTGTTCTGCAAATATAGCCAAATTTTACTCATTTGCGTCAAACGAAAAGGTATTTTTAGGCAAAACTTGAGGACTGCCTGTGTTTCGATGCGAAAACAGATACTTGCCAGAGCATTCTATGGGTGTAAGTTCAACTTTCATACAGAATAAGAAGACAGTAGTGAAGTATGGAGAAGAGTGAAAATTTACAGGGCTTGCTTATACTGGTCATCTAAAAACTATACGTACACATCTGTCCGCACTGATTCAGGATGAAGTTATTGAAGACGATGACATATTTGGTCCGGTCGACGAAAAGTGTTGGATGGAATGTCGTGCAACAAAAACGGTACTCGTTGAACTAATTTCTTTTTTTTTCTTACGTGTTAAGTAATAACAATTGTTTATTCAGAAGGAAGCTGAAAATATTTTCCTTCGTCGAGTCTATTTACACGGCATAAGAGGCAGTAATACGCGTAAACTGCGACAGGAAACATGGCCATATTTGATAAATCTTCTTGACTGGGACGAAGATTTGGAAATAATGATACCGCGTTTCAAAAAACTTTATGATGCTGATTTTGACGCTTGGAAAAAAATTGAATCCAAAGTTATTGTGCGTGATGAAGAAGCGTTTACTGCTGGTAACTACTGTCCGCTGTCGCAAACTAATAAAAGTTTCTCTAGATATCAGACAGTAACGGAGTTGACAACCACCATTTTCTGCATACTAGTTAATTAGCATTAGAGCTGTGGCATTTATTTTTCAGTATCAAATCTGCAAGATGCATTTAGTGAAAATCTTTTTTGAAAGGAACAGACCATATAAGATGTTTTTGAAAATTAAGATTTAATGAAATCTTAGATTTTAACCAATACTTTAGGGGAAATTGTTGAAAATAGTGTCGTTTTATCTGATTTTTAGAGTCTTTAAACTGTTAACATAGGGCTGAGTATAATTAGGGTGAACAAAAACAGTTCCATATGACTATTCTACTCAACAAAAATTCCGGATCTTATCTTTCAGCCCGACTTCGCCAACACTCAAACAGTGGGGACTTGAACTTCCCTACTCGAGGTCTGTCTCTAACCAACGATGTTTTTGATGATAACGATGCAGCCAAAGAAATTTCGTTGGATCCAGTCAATCAGGTGAGTGAAATGACTGAACGAAAACAAAATGAATTTTTGAACAGCAATAAAAAAGGTTTTACACTGAAAACAGACCTGTGACTGTCACTTCTTCATATGTCACAGGATCCTCTTGATGTTTTTGGCACAAATCTACATCGGGTTCAAAAAGATGTTGAACGTTGTGATCGACAGTATACTTACTACGCCAAAACTGAAAACCGAGAAAAACTGAAAAATGTACTTTGTACTTATGTTTGGCGAAATATGGATGATGGTTATATGCAAGGAATGTGTGATTTAGCAGCACCACTTTTGGTTCTTTATGACGACGGTAAACAAAACTTTTGATTAGTAAATTTATTGTTAGCTTTGGAACTGAGCAAGATAAGTGTTGAGTTTTTCAGTGTTCAAAAGTTTTTTTGCTTCATACTTTAAAAAAATTGTAGAGTCTTTGGCGTTAGCAATGTTTGAATGTGTTATGTTACGAATGCGACATTATTTTCCCAGTGGATCAAAAATGGATGACAGTCTATCTAATATGCGTTTTCTGATTCAGGTTTAATATGTTTTTTTTTTTTAACAGATAATTTAATAGCAAACTATTTTTCATTCTAC